TTTTGAGTAATATTGCATGAGTTCCTTGTTTTTTAATGCAGCATAGTATTCCATTGTGTGAATATACCACAGCTTCTCTAGCCATTCGTTTGTTGATGGTGTTTTTGAAATTTTTAAAATGCTTTTACTCAGTGCCACTAGAAAATTTTGTGCTGAAAATTAGCTGAAAAAAATATGATTTTACAATTACTTCTCTGAAGCTACAAATAAGACTGTTTGATAAGCAATTATTTGTTAATATGGTTTTCTTTTCATGTATTGATATATATTTTTATGCTTGTTTTTCTTTTTTAGATTGGTGCCTTCTACTTAAACCTTGGAGGTGCTCCAGAGGGGCCAGCAGGCACAGGAAAAACTGAGACCACCAAGGACTTGGCTAAAGCTCTTGCTGTGCAATGTGTGGTATTCAACTGTTCAGATGGGCTGGATTACCTAGCAATGGGAAAGGTAGTTAAATTAAGGGGACACTAGTATTCAACTTTACAAATGTACAGCTAGTGCTAAGTGGCTAACAATGGGAGAGGGAGTTAAATTACTGAAACACTAATATTCAACTTTACAAACTTACAGGTATTGTTAACTGGAGGTTTTCATGTGCCATCGAGTCGCTTGTGACTCATAGTGATCCTATGTACAACATCTCTGAACCCTGCTCTACCCTGAGCCAACGTTAGCATCTCTGATACACCTACCCATATTATCTCGGTCAATCCATCTCATTGAGGGCCTTCCTCTCTTGCACTGTCCCTCCACCCTCCCAAGCATGATGTCCCTCTCCAAGGACTGGTCTCTCCTTCTAACATGCCCAAAGTATGTCAGACAAAGCTTCAGAATCTTTGCCTCCAAGGAGCAGCCTGGTCTCACCCTCTCCAGGATGAACCTGTTTGTTCTCCTAGCGGTCCATGATCAATACTTCATCACCACAGCTCAAAAGCATCAATTCTCCTTCTATCATCACCAGTCATTAACTGGATAAACCAGCATAATATTGAAACATTGCAGGAATGTGAAGAAGTGGCTAGCCTTGATTTTAGGAGTACAGATAATGGTTTTTATACATAAGACATTTGTTGTTGTTGTTGTTGTGTGCCATCGAGTTGCTTGGGACTCATAGCGACCCTGTGTATAACAGCCCTAAACTCTGCTCTGTCCTGTGCCAATTGCACCGTCTCTGACACTCCCAATTATCCCAGTCACTGAATCAATCCACCTTATAGAGGGCCTTCCTTTCCTGCGCTGTCCCTCCACCCTCGCAAGCATGATGTCCTTCTCCAAGGACCTGTCTCTCCTCACAACATGTCCAAAGTATGTT